ATATATTTTATTATAAGCATGAAGAATGAGTATGAAATCTTCTGGTGACCAAACATTTAACTTGTGGGAAACATTACAAGAATGCTGACCAAAAAAAACTTTAATTGAGATTTTTGCAGTTCAAACGTAAACAAAAATATATAATGCAACAAAAAAAAAAAACAAGTTTTACTTAATGAGATTACTCAAAACATTTTAAAAAAACAAACAGTTTTTTGGGGTGTGGCAAAATGTGATCCCTTAGACATGAAAGAATGGATTTTAGGCATATTGTTGCAAATATGCAAACATCGTCTGTTGAATCAGCATTTCAGAAAGAAAAATAGCTGAGGACCATCAGCTATATTTTCGCATAGACGTTTTATACTTTATGCATTTTCCACACATAAAAAATGATCCGAGAATGGTTAGAGTGCACATTAAAACATCCACATAAAAACAAATTAAGAAGAACGGGAAGACTATAAGCCAGACGGACACCATGTACAGCCAAATGAAACATGTGGAGAAAACGAACAGTATTCAAAATGAAAAGTTCATAAAACAATACAAAATAGGAGCAGAGCAAATACGGACCACAAAAACATCAGAGATGGGATGAGGTGCCATTGAGGAGTGAGCATCCCCTGCTGACCGGTCAAACCCGCCGCGTGCTCCTTGTCATGACTGAGAAATTACGGAACAATCCGTTGTCAGTTCAGTGGACTAACACTTATGAAAAACATAAGTCAGCATTTGACTCAATGATAAAGTGCATTTGCTGACAATATCATTGTATCGACCATAGAACTTAAATGTACGAAATGATGCCTTCAAACGAGATTGCTTGTTGAAATTCTTATTTCATTAACTTGTTTGTCAGTAATTTACCTCGTTTTAGAAATTGTTAATACGTAGAGCATGCTCATGTGTTGAAGTTATATTGCTGCATAAGTAAGGAAAGTCGACGATAGAAAAGTTCAAGTCATCACGTTCATCATAGAGCTTATTTGTTAGATAACTATTAAGGTCTTTTTCAAGTTAAATATCCAAATATGAAACAGATGTGTCAGACTCTGTGATACCTTTTATCTCAAGCTCAGCGGGAAAAATAGTATCTACATAAGAATGGAAATTACCAAATTATTCTTTCGGTTGTACTCTGCAGGCGACACAACACAATGCACCAAAGTACAAACAATTTTTGCAATTAAAATTACATTTAATTCATTCACATATTAAATTTTACATGTATACACTACAAGCTATATTGTAAAATTCTTGAAGCATCAAGGCTAAAAGAGTGTTCTAGTGCAGTTGAGGTAAAAATCGATACTAACTCCATACTAAGACAAAGGGAAAGAGTTTAGTTATTCAAATGTCCTTATTTCAACAATGTTATCAATCCACCTCACATTTTATCACATTATGCTGTCATTATACAAATTAACTGAGAGACACAGTATTTGGTGTTTAAAGACAAAAAATGTTTTTGAAGGATCATTTGACTTTGCAGAAATGTACATGTACATGACTGTGATATTGATGTAATATAATTTGCCATTTCATGGTAGACATATGAATTTCTGGATCTCTCAATACAACTGATATTTGCCCCTGTCCATTTGATTTATTTTGTTTTGGACTTATAATACTTGCATCTTTGATACTTGTGTAAAGAAAAAATTTTCAAAGACCAACTCTGCATTTTTGTATCGCTTCAATATTTTTCAATTACTTTTTTTTATCAAGGGCATTGACATTTTCTTCGTAACTTAAAAATTTTCTTTCTGTGTGCTTAGTTACATGTATCAGAAATATTTCGAATATTAGAGACTTGAAATAATTTGGTGCACTTTTTTGAGTTAAGAAAGAATCATACAATAATTAAATAAAAAGTATTTTTAGCAACTGATTTTACAAGTATCTTCCCTTATATGAGACTGTAAAATCTAAATTTCTGTAACACATAAATTGCTTTTATATATACTGAGAAATATATTTTTATACAGATTTCTTCTATGGAAATCTTTACAATAATTGTCTTAAAAGAGCTTGAAAGACATCGGGTATATGTATAAGCATATCCTTTGTCTAACAGACTTATTAACCCATTGGTCGTGCGTCAATGTTGACCTAATTGAGGCGTATCAAAAATCTTCTTTGCTAATGAAATATACATAATATACATGATCAAGGTAACTGTCAAGTAAGTATGTGTACTAATATCGTTTTTGTTCAATTATTCGAGAAGTCTTTTAGCCATATAAAACTCTGCAAAACAAAATTCTAAATGTAATAGGCAAATAAGATACCGTCATGAAACAAGAAAAGCTAGCTCGTAGATATCTGACTTTAAGGACAGATGATAAAAACAAACTTTTGTCAAACAATTTAAAAATAACAACTTCGGTCATGTTTAAATAAGTAAAATGAATAAGTTTCACCGCGTAGTTTTTAATTTTTTATTCAAAATTTCACAAAAATGGGATTTAAAGTGATTTTTTGTTGTTGTATTTTTGATAAGGATGGTTTCAGAAGGGCAGACTTTTGAACAGCACAGAATGTTTACAATTTCTTTATATTCTAGAAATTTGCAATGAAATTAGGTTAAAAATATATACCGATCAAGGCATCCATTTTTTGTTTGTATCGTCTGTCCTTAAAGTTTAAAACTACAAAAGTAGTTCCTTGTGAATATGAAGTTTTTCATAAAATATCTATACTTGTAGCAAATTGATCATTAAATGTACAGGTAAGCTATGATAAAAGGTATATTAGTATTTCAAGGCATTAAATTGGTCAGGTCTGATATTGTGATAAAAAAATGTACTGATCTCCAGATTACGATCTAGCTACTGAATTAAACATAATGGGGTTACTGACCTCTACTAGACACAATACATGTACATGATTGTTTCAACCATCAATTATCTCGCAAAAGATATAGTGGTTAAGGCGAACATTTTAAGTGGAGTTTTGGACATCAGGTTCTGTAAAATAATAGAAAAAATATTTTTCTATCCAATTGAGCAATCAGAGTTAATTTTAAAAATTCAAAATCTAAGAACACGTCTATAAAGCAACCCATATTATATCTGGGAGATAAAATTGTTCAAGTAGAAAAATATTAAGAGAATCTTGAGAAACTTTGATCAGGGGTTGCAGCTCATCCCCACAATGCCAATGTCTTGGACAACACGTTGCCTTTGAAACCTTGGAAAATTTCATTCAATATTCGTAGGTTGACTGAAGCGACGTCTTTTGAAAGAAATTTTGCCTTGAGAGAAAATCATTAAGAATATTTTTTTTTTCATAAATATAAGTAACTCGAGTAATTTTTAGAAAACTAAAGGTCAACCTCTTTATACTTATTAAAGATTCCAAGTTATATGTTATTTTCGTTTCGAAAACGTATGTACAGCGTAAAACCCTGCTTTTTGTTTTTAAAAAGCATGACGATTGTTAAAATAACAAAGGCTATGATGCCTCATTCTTCATACTGTTTTATATTTAATGTAGTCTTTCTTTAAATTATAAATGTCGTACATCTATGTAAGATTTTCCGTTTTAACAAGAGATGAAAAAAGACATTGTTCAAAAACGAGCAATTTTGTGAATGAATAGAGTCTCAAATTAAAATAATTATACAGAATAGCAATAACTATTTTTGTCCATATTTTGTCCTGTAATTTAATATTTCCTTTATAGGCCTAGAAGAATGAATGAGCAAGCTAATTCATCCATTACCAAGAACTTTAAAGGGGATTCAGACGTTAATTCTTAATATTAGTAAAGAAACTGAAAGTTTGAATTTACGAATTTTTAAATTCACTAATTGTGATTTAGATCTGCTTCGGTAGGCATGTTAGCTTTTACTTAATGACATTTACAGATCCATATCTCGTTATACGTCAAGCTTATAGAGTGTACACGACCTTCAGAAAAAGGCAACACAAGGTGAACTATCTATTGTTCCCTAATTAAGATTTTCTCAGTCATGGAGCTAATAACAGAGATTAAACTTTATTATTATTATTTTGTTGTTCTAAAATAATTTCATTCTGCAAGTTTTATGAAAAATAACCATAAAAATTGTCAATGATATTTGAATAAAACCATTTGAGCAAGTTATAGCAGGGATGCATAATGTAAAACCAATAGATAAAATGTGCACAAAAAAATGTTCGCTCCGCTTTCCGAAGAGTTTGAAAAATATTTAACCATAAATACTGCATTGTCCTGTGTTTAATTCATATAAATTAAGCCATTTGATCAAATTTTGCTACCGAAAGAAAACTGAGTTAAATCACAAGAAGTCGGGTTTAATTTTTGTTTATAATATATTTTTAACCAAAAGAATACCTGTTGTCTTCGCTTTTGATGTTGGGGGTATAAATGTAGTGATTTTGTACGTGTATCTGTCGTTCTAAAGGCGTTGCATGACTCATACATGTACTTCCATTTCTTTTATGTCTATTTGCCTTATTATGCCTTATTTGGCATTTCTTGTTTGTAAATTATCACGTTGATCTATTTATATACTCGGAAAGAAAGAAAATTTCATTAAATTACGTAATTTGGCGCTTTAGACATTCACTTTTTATTTATTTGCAGTAAGCTTTTGAATTAAAAAGAAAACGATGGTCAGCTTTTAGTTTTTCACTTGCATATAACATGTACTAACTGTAGAAAGTAATCAGGTATCACCGTCACCTTACGACGTGCGTCAATAGCCAATGAGGGCGAACTGAGATATATTCAGGCGGGAACACAGAAACATAAATTTCCTTCTTCATTATTTAAAACATGACACGAATGAGATATGCCAAAAATCTCAACGCATTCCTGGAAGAAACAATACCACAGAAGCACAGTAAGTAATGCCATCGTCATTTTTTTTAAACAGGTAATATTCAGTTTACAATTCCTTATTATATGAAACGTTTTTTTTTTCAAATGATAAAGTTTATTGAAAAGATAACTATTTAATGAATAAACTTTTATATTTTAAGGATTTCATAATGCAATTTCTGGGAAAAGGTGTATTTATAATCATACTGGTATGTGTATGTCAACATCTTATGTATACTCAAGGCTCGCTTCAAGACCCAGAGATTCTACGACTTTATAGGTAAGATACTTATGAATACAACATTTAAGATTTCTATTCATGATCATTTTGAAAATATACTTATTTTTGTAAAAAGAAAGTTACTAAACATTTCCCAAAGGTTTGCTTTTTATGTATTGAAAATTTCTTGTTGTTCCTTTTAGAACGCAAAGAAGTGTATTAGGAGAGCTGATAAAATCTAGTGTATTAGCTTATTCACATCAACAGTTTGGACACGGGTTGAACATTTCTGCCCCGTAAGTTAATTTTTATGAAGATATATTTTTCCTACATTCAAAGAACTTATCTTCGATTAGTTTCCTTATATAAACGATAAGAAAAAAAATGAAGTCTATCAAACTTCCATCTTTCTTCAAGAGTTTATCATAGGTAATTTTTAATTGATTCTCATACTTTCATACATAAAGGTCACTTATTTTTTTTTATCATATAATGAATAAAATGTGTTTATGAATTCAAATTACATTAAAAAATTTGTCCAGATCTAGAGAATAAGAAAACAGGTTTAAGGGGGGGGGAGTTTAATTCAATATATTAATATGTAAGTTTATTTGTATAAAACGAATTGTTATACTTTTATCAAGTTTTGTTTTATTCATATTTCTCTTGTATTCTGTTGGTTGGGTATTTATTTTATTGTCTTTTTATGAACATAGACAGACTTATAAAAATACGTTTAAAAAATGTAAAGGACAGCTAACGAAGAACTGTTTAAATTTGATTAATCTTTTTTTTTTTAATTTGCAACCGAAAAAATAACACATAACTATGGAAAACAACTCATTCTAGAGCATTTCATTTTTATCTGGGGAAACAACATATATTATTACATAATTTTGGTTCATAAACTAATTGATTTCATGACAGAAAGTCTTGATGAAAGCAAATGTCAAGAGATTACATTACGAAACCTGACATTTCACATACCGTTTTTGTGTTTAGATGAAAGAATTTTTTCCTAAAATTTTGGATGAAAACAAAAGGTATCTTGCTGTATCTTTCAAGTCTACAATCATAATTTTGTAATTATATAGATATATCGATGGTGTTCATCTTATTATGATTTAATACATCTCTTTGATCTAAAAAAAACAATTCAAAAGAATATGACACATCTGTTTCATATAATATAATACTATAATGGTAACTTTACATCAACACTAATCATAAACGTAATTGATTTAATTTTTCTATCGTCAGCTTTCTTTGTTTATGTTGAAATGTATCAGCATCACTTGTATATAAACGTTTCTTCTCCTGGCTTAATGGACAAGCAAAAGATTGGTCGACTTATAAAAAATCTAGAACAAGACAAGCTTTTGACAATATAATTGATGATGCAAGGATACGAACAATCTCATTGAAATGTTCCCAACCCTTAGTGGACCAAATTCCTTAAATATACACCAAGTACATAAAAATCTGATATATAAAAAAAGCATTTTATAGTAGAAAAGGATTTGACAAGAGAAAGTTTCGAAAATTTAATTACTAGTAACTAAGCAGTAATTAATTAAGAAATATTTCTTTGAAGTCTATTGGGAAAAGTGATTCCTAAAATAAATTTCAAATAATAAGAATATAATTAAATACTACATCAATCAAATAGATCTAGATCTAATATCAAATAAGGCGAAAAGATTTATTGAAACATTACAAATAGAATGACAATTGAAAAAAAATTCTTCACCAGATGAGTTATTTAAAATTGATTTATTAGTTAAAAACTATAACCATAATTAATGGTTATAAATTGAAACAAATCCCAACCTTACATGCTAATAGCCATAAATGGGTATTTTATCGAAACATACATCTGTTATGTTTTAAATTTCATTGAATCTGTTGCAATTAGGGATGGAATACTTTAAGGTCAACTTTTGCAAATTTTATAAATCATACAATAACTTTATCAGCAAAAACATATTGTTAAGCAAAATGTTTACTAATACTTCAAAACCAGTTTTAATGCTATTATTATCCCACTAATCCTTTCTTTTACACGGTCATGACAAGTAGAATACGTAAGACGTAAATTCTAGACATGGAATGTTTACTCCTTCATGGCACCTAATCGAACATCTTATGTTGTAATAGATCTGTGTATGATTTCCCCCAATTAGTATTGTTTTCATGAATTTCTTAACTTTGTTACTATTCGTTATCTTAAGCTTCATATTTCATGGTAAAGCATCGGTAATAATCAATATCTAATTTCCGACCATTTGGCAGCATAAGAAGTACAAGATTTGATGTGAAAGCATCTTTCAAAATTAAAAAAAAAATTCCTAAAATAAGTGATTTACCATCATAGTTGAACCTAAAAATAAAAACATAAATAATCCTCTTAAAATGAAATATTCTACTATCAAACTTATAAAAACGAAGTCCTTTGGTTTCAGGATATCGTCATCATTGTAGATGTAAATTGATCATGCATCAGATAACATATAACATTCTGGACATCTTTTTTTGAAAAAAAAGACAGCCTGAAGGCAAAGTATATTCAGAAAAAGCTTGGCAGTCTTAGTTCTGTACTGTTCATTTTTTAGAGGCTAATCCCCCTTCTTTTAAATTAACTTCCAAATAACGCTCTCATTTCATTTAATCTTGGGGGTGGGCGTTTTAAGCGTTGCTTTATTTTTCATTATAATTTAGGACCTCATTTTTTGACAAGCAATTTCCTTCATAATACGTTATATATTGTTAATTTAATTTTTGTTTAAAATTTCTTCAGGTATTAAAGAGCAGTTCAATGTATATTTGATGCTGTTTATGAAATAAATTCATCTCGTCAATAAAAAAGATGAAAGATGTCACTTATTTTGTATCTTTTGTATTAAAAGACATGTGTAAGACAACATTTAAAATTTGAAAAAGTAACTGTAAAATTGAAATAATCTTTAAAAATGGTTTGTTTGCCCTCTCTCGACAAAATGTCATTCAAAACCTCTCATGGCATCAAAAATTGAATTATTTAAATACGATCATCTTTTTACTATTCTTAAAATTAAGCCCTGATCTGAATTTACTGATAATAAAAAATATCTCACTAAGCGACCATTTTAGAAAAGATATCCTGGACCGGAGAGGGCAAACAAAGATAATTTGAAAGAAAGCTTTAGAATTTTAATATTGTATTTTATTGTCTTTTCTAGTGGAAGATAGGAGGTACAAAGATAGGGACATAATTATTACCAGAGCGAATGTGGATGGTAAATAATGACTAAAACTAGTATGATCCTTTAAACGAAAAAGATTATAACTTTTCCAAAAAAGCTTAGTTATCTTTGGCACTAACTCTAGAAAATTATTATTAGAAAATGATCTCTTGACTTGCTCTTTGCATTTCAGCAAATAAAATTGTTGCAAGAGGAAGGACATAGTCCAAAGAGTGTGGAATATTTTGATTCTTTCCTATTAAAGATACAATTTGTTGTATATTTCATTGTAAGCAAAACGCCTAATTGATGTACTACATGTATAAGTGTACCTTAGAAGACAAAATAATTGTGATTTCTTTCTCTCTGTTTAACAGATCTAACCATTTGTAAATGGACTTGGATTAATGTTTCTGAAGATGGACGAAACTTTGTTATAAAAACTTTTTTGTGCATAAATGCATTAGAAACCATATGATAGTTTTTGTTTTCATCTTAATTTCAACCTACACCAAGAAGAGTTGGGTATTATTTTAACAGCTTCTGGGATTTTTTTTTAAAATTACGATATTGACCAAAGCGTGAGGGGGACCAGCTTCCCAAAAATAATCTGACAAACAAAATAAGTCTATTATTTAACTGTCTTAATCCCTGAACTTGATAGTATTCGACCTTACAGCACAAAAATGGGGTGGGGAAACGGACATATAAATGAAAACTTAACCATCATCGATAGCAAAAATATGAAATCAGAAAAAAGTTAATGCCTCCTTTTGGCCCCCGTATTTTACGTACCTGCTATATACATTTAAAAAAAAAATCCAGTGGCTTTTAAATATATGCATTTCAGTACTACTATTTTATAAAGTGTTATAAAATGCAATGGTTTTATTTTCACATTGTGGACGATCAGGGTTTGTCTTTTCGGCTAACATTGCACCATCGCGAATATTATGATGTCGATTTTTTACGCATCACATTAATATATATCTTAAAACGGTACATTCCGAACACCTTGGAACATTAAACATATTGAATCAAAGACACCTATATTTTTCTATCAAAAACAAAAGCATTTATTTCAATAAATACAATAAAAATAAACTTACATTCATGGGAATTTCTTTCATGTTGTAGTGTGCATAAAAATATCATTCCTGAATTGAACTGAAGTGTTGGATAGATAAGAAGAAATGTTAAATAAATGAACTGCATTTTACTTCTTCAGTTTCTGTTGTATAGCTATGTACATATAGATAATCAATAAATGTGTCCTGTACTTAAACTTGATATATGAAATAATAATTGTTTTAAACTAAAAATAAGTAAATGATTTATTATAGTGAATGTGCATTTATTATAGTGACATATGTTACATGATACAATGATAAAATATATATCACTTTCAACAAATATGATTAATTTATCAAATCTAAAAATAACACAAACTTTTTGTACAGTATTGAGTGTGTTTGTATAGAAGATATAAATATTTTATTTATATTTGCCTTGAGACTTTTAAAGGAAAATTATATCACTTTCTAAATGACTACTTGAGATATAGGAATAGTAGTCTTCACAAAAGGTGCAGATTTCACCTAAATGCCAGGAATTCAAGAGATTCCTCTTCATAAACACTATGTATGTACATAGAAATCCTTTGATACTTTCAATCGTAATTGAACAAACATTTCACCTAGTTTTTTCAAAAGCATTCGTGTAAGTTGACAACTGTTCATCACACGCATTATAAAATGCATTTGAGAGCATATGGATTTCTTTGTATTTTTCAAAACAATGATATACTTTCTAATCTAAGATACTTTTATTCCCAGAAGAAAAGGTGTTTCCCTTCTATATTTCATACACGTAGGTTTCTACAAGCCACTTAACCTATAATTTTATTTAAAACTTAATAAATAAAGACTTGTAACATTTTTATGGATTCAAATATATTACTCAAATACACTTGACATATCTTTATCTAACTAAATAATCGTGTTTTTCAATTCATTGAATAATATATTTCACTCCACGACAGATATGAATGACTGATGCGATTATCACAAATACAGTATTGCCACAAATATTGAGATTTTTTCAGGATATATTTATGTTACACGTTGTATTGATAACAAACAAGATAATTTTATATTCACTTTTATTTAATGTCCGTTGGTTCATCTTTCCTAAAAACCTGTGTTAATATGGAAAAAGAAAATAAAGAGCTTTCATATTATACAAGTGTTTTACCTGTGACAAGACCTTTCAAAATATACTATGGAGTTTGATCTAGTCACTTTGGCCTTGAAGATTGACCTACTTTTCTAAAGTTTTATATTTCCTTTTTAACTTTTTATTGAGAAGAGATAGATATTACATTTTCGACATATGCATTACCTGTGAAAATTTGTCTTCGAACAAGCAATGATTTTTTTTTTACACTTTGTCCTTGACCTTGACGTTTGACCAAAGTTAGAAATTCGTCTTAAATGGAATATTTCAAAATATTAATTATTAAAGAATATGGCATGAGGGAGAATCATTCTTGAAATATGACATCATTAATTTAATATATCTCTCAGATTAATGTAAAAAAAACCTCAAAATCACTCATTTCTGTGGTCATTTGCATTTAGAAAATAGTGTCCACAGCCGCCGCCCACGTCCGTTTTTCGATATATTGTGTACAATGGTTTGAAAATCTTTGTTGGCGATGCATTGCTGTATGTTTTCTGATTGAATATTTCACTGAAAATTGATTTCTTCTACAACTTTTTAAGAAAATACAGAAAAAACGTACCAGTCCATGACGTCACTATTAGCATTTGGGAGGTCATAATGTAAAAGTCATTTGAAGGTATTAACTGCGTGTAATTTCAATAAGGATAATTTTGAATTCTTACATCACTTCTATATTTTAGAGAAATACAGGGCCAGATTTATATAGAAATCATACCTTGTTTTTAGCTCTACTGGTCAGAGACCAGAAGAGCTTATGCGATAGTAATGCGTCCGTGTGTGTGTCTGTCTGTCTGTCCGTCTGTCTGTAAACAATTTTTCAAAATGCTACTCCTCCTACAGTTTTGGTCTGATTTCAAAATAACTTGGCACTCGGTTGTTGATTTCGATGAGCGGTGTTGCCATGGTTACCAAAAATAGAAATTTCTTTGAAAAACATTCAAAATGCTACTCCTCCTGCAGTTTTGGTCTGATTTCAATATAACTTAGCACACAAGTAGACTACACTAAGATACATAATTCTGTGTATCGGTTTTTGATTTCAATGAACGGTGTTGCCGTGGTTACTAAAAATAGAAATTTCTTTGAAAAACATTCATAATTATACTCCTCCTACAGTTTTGGTCTGATTTCAATATTACTTGGCAAACAAGTAGACTACACTAAGATACATAATCAGTTTTATGTTTTTGATTTTGATGATTGATGTTGCCATAGTAATTTAAATTGAACAAGAGGCCCAGGGGCCACAGCGCTCACCTGAGCACATCGGGCTTGAATTTATCCCCCCCTCCAGGCGTCCATCATTTGAACAAATTAGAATCTACACTACCTGAGGATGATTCCATATAAATATCACTAATCATAGCTTTGAAGTACTTGAAAAGAAGATTTTAAAAGGTTTCCTTGTATATCCCTATGTAAACTTGGGTCGGCCATTTTGGCCCCACACTTGCCCCGGGGGTTATGATTTGAACAAACTTGAATCTACACTACCTGAGGATGATTCCACATGAGTTTCATCTTTCCTGGCCCATCGGTTCTGGAGAAGAAGATTTTTGATTTTTCTTATACATTCCTATGTAAAACTTGGGTCGGCCATTTTGGCCCCACCCTTGCCCCGGGGGTTATGATTTGAACAAACTTGAATCTACACTACCTGAGGATGATTCCACATGAGTTCCATCTTTCCTGGCCCAGTGTTCTGGAGAAGAAGATTTTTAAAGATTTTTCTTATATATTCCTATGTAAAACTTGGGTCGGCCATTTTGGCCCCACCCTTGCCCCGGGGGTCATGATTTGAACAAACTTGAATCTACACTACCTGAGGATGATTCCACATGAGTTTCATCTTTCCTGGCCCAGTGGTTCTGGAGAAGAAGATTTTTAAAGATTTTTCCTATATATACCTATGTAAAACTTGGGTCGGCCATTTTGGCCCCACCCTTGCCCCGGGAGTCATGATTTGAACAAACTTGAATCTA